TACAAACTCACTTCAGTATATTGGTCTTAAGAAATAATGTATCCAATGACTACCAGAGGAGAGAAAGCTTCCTGTATTAGTCCATTCCAGATGCTATGAGAAAATATCATAGATAGTGTGACTTACAAACCATGAAATTTATGTCTTATAGTTTTCAAGGCTGCAAGTTAAAGGTTAAGGCACTATCAGATTCAGTGTCTGGTGAGGGCCCTCTTCACAAGTGGTGCCTTTTCATTTTGCCCTCACATGGTAGAAGATCCCTAGGCCTTTTTGTTTGTTTGTTTTTCGAGACAGAGTTTTGCTCTTGTTGCCTAGGCTGGAGTGCAATGGCACGTGCGATCCCGGCTCACTGAAAATTCTGCCTCCCAGGTTCAAGAGATTCTTCTGTCTCAGCCTCTCGAGTAGCTGAGATTACAGGCGCCCGCCACCATGCCCAGCTAATTTTGTATTTTTGGTAGAGATGGGGTTTCACCAGGTTGGTCAGGCTGGTCTTGAACTCCTGACCTCAGGTGATCCACCCACCTAGGCCTCCCAAAGTGCTGGGATCACAGGCGTGAGCCACAGCACCCAGCCCCTAGGTCTCTTTTATAGAAGCACTGATTCCATTCATGAGGGCTCCACTCTCATGACTAATCACTTCCCAAAGACCCCACTGCTAATACCATCACCTTTGGAATTAATGTTTCACCATATAAATTTTGGGTGGACACAAATATCCAGACCACAGCACTTCCCAAAGGGTATAAATGCAGAAGCATCAAGATTCTATTACCTCCCAAATAGTGTTCCTTCCTGCTCAAAGATTCCTGAAACTCATTGACAAAGGCACATAGACTTTGTTTCAGTACTTTCATGAAAATGCAAATGGCACTGGCAAAGGTGCCATGACATAAATTCACATACAGGCATAAATGATGGACAGCTAAGTTCTTTAAAGTAGATTTCAACAGCATGATAGACAAGTTTATCTTTATGGTCCTTATATCTGAAGAGGAATACAGTAACACAAAGAATAATAAACAAGGCCAGGTGCGGTGGCTCACGCCTGTAATCCCATCACTTTGGGAGGCCAAGGAGGGCAGATCACTAGGTCAGGAGATAGAGACCATCCTGGCTAACATGGTGGAACCCTGTCTCTACTAAAAATACAAAAAATTAGCCGGGCGTGGTGGCACGTGTCTATAGTCCCAGCTACTCGGGAGGCTGAGGCAGGAGAATCTCTTGAACTCGGGAGGTGGAGGTTGCAGTGAGCCGAGATCACACCACTGCCTTGCAACCTGGGTGACAGAGTGAGACTCCATTTCAAAAAAAAAAAAAAAAAAGAACAATAAATAAAAATATAAACAGTTTTTGAAATAAGGCAAAGACTAGAATCAGTGAATAAAAACTGGACTTTGTCAGGTAAAATCACAGAGTGTTGGAAACACGGGTAAACAAAAGAATTGATATAAACAGATAACTGACTAAATTAAACAACCACCTAATGACTATTAGAACAAATAAGAAAATATATAAAGCTGATTCTTGATATTCATACTAGTTACATTATATTCAGTTGCTCAGAATACTGAACTAGCAAGTACTGATTCATTGCTCCCAGGGTTAGAGTTCCTGTGAGACTCTAGTCACAACATTTTGTTTTTGTGTGTTTCTGTTTAAAGACGCATTAATACAGGTTGCCCATTTATTAAAACTGAACTTTTACCCAACAGCACTATATATACACCATGCATGTCTGAACGAAGATAATCTGACACACATATTTTCTCAGTAAGGCACATGACAGCTGTCAATGGGCACATTAGGTGACTCAAAATTTGCTGCTGTGTACACATCTGTGAATGACCCAGAAGGCACTGCAAATATTAATTTTAGGCTTCCAAAATTTTAGTAAATAGGCAAATTTGCAAATAAAATCAGGATCAAATGTACCTGGGTTTTAATGCTCTTTTAGTACTCGCCTATGTGATACTAGGTTAACGGCATAAACTCAGTTTCCTTACCTAGAAGATTTAGATGCTTATTAGGTACCTTTAAATCCTGTTACTTGTGAATTTCTTGAAAGTCAGCACCTCTAGTCTAAATTCAGTCTAACTTCAGCATACCAGGTACTCCATAATCTAAATCTTTCTTATCTATCCAGGCTTGTTTCCCTCTGCATGGAAACTTACAAGCCTTTAATAAAGGAAGGATATATTCATTTCCATCCGCCAACTGTCACACACTCAAACATTGATTTATGTATAATCTATCCATCCATTATCTCGTCTATTATCAAACATTATCTCACAAACAATGTTGCTGGAGATAAAATGATCAGAGACACAGGTAAGAACCCAACCCGGTGGTGGACATAATCTAGTGAGAGAGACAGATAATAAACATGTACATAAAGAGATCCGTAGCATATATTCCAGTAGTTGGAAGTGCAATTAACTAAAAATAAAACAGAGTGATGATTTAGAGATAATTGTAGGTAAGACAATATTTTAAGTAGTGTTATCAGCCAAGAACTTTTTAAGAAGGCAGCAATTAAGCAGAGATCCAAATAAAGCAACAGGAGAGTAAAAGCAAAGACCTGGGGCAGAGGAACATTAGTGGTAAACGCTGTGATATGGGAGTGAGGTTGGTGTTTCTGAGAAAGAGAAAGAGGGTGAGACGAGCTGACACAGAGGAAGTGAGGAGGTGCCAAAGACCAAATCACAAGTGACGCAGCCCATGATAATCGAGTCTAGATGTTATTTTAGAGGTGATGGAAACCCCCTGTAAGTAGAGCAGTGTCATAATCTAACGTACATTGTAAAAGCATCACTCTGGTTGTGAGGTGACAAACGGGATATGCAGAGCAAGAGTAGAGACCCGAGGTTCTCTCTGTGAATACCAAGCAAAGAGGGGGATGGTGAGAACAGTGGTGGTGTAAAGTCATCGCGTATGGGGTATAGTTTGGAGACAAAGCAACTGAAATATGCTGATAGGTTGGCTTCAGGGCTTAAGAGAAAAGGTACAATTAAGGAAGTTCCTTGGACAAGTGGTGACAAAAAGTACTGAAATAGTACTGAAATAAATAGAAGAAGAGTAGGCTTAATGAGTGAGACAAAATAAGCAAGGGTTCAGTTTTGGTCATTTAAAGACAAGAGATCTACCAGATATCAAAATATGTCTAACATATAAATGAGGGAGGCAGAAACATATAGAAATAAGGCAATATGAAGATAGGACAGGAAACTAGAGACAATAAATAAAATGTACTCTCAGCCATCCTATGACATGATTTTTCCCAGGTCATGAAGTATAGTCATCACTGATTCATCCACTCAGTAAGCAAGTATTTATTAAGTGACTATTTGGTGTCAGGCATAATTATAAGTGTCTGAGGTGCAAATCTTTTTCATTTGTCCTTATGCTATCTTATTTTTGAAGACTATCACTGTTATTGCATTGATACATAAAAAATAAAGTACGAATCAACTAATGTAGGAATTTCATGCATCAGTTTTCAAGTTGATGGAATGAATGCATTTTCTGGCATCATGTCTATAATAGAATTCCACAAAAAACCTGAATTATGTATTAAAAGATAGTTAATCTCTTTATTCTTGAAATATCACAAAACACAGCAAATACAGGCATTGGTTAGATAATTTTTATCGGCTTTTTTTTTTTTTGTCTAAATCATGGGTGAAATTTTTCTACTCAATTTTAGTTCACTGTCAACCATAAACTGGTCTATTTGAAAAGTATTTGCAAATCTACTAGTCCATTAAAATGACAAAGTTCAACTGTCAATCAAATAATGGCAGAATCAAAGTTTCCAAAAGTACAAAAATAAATAAGTAAATAAAGTGGTCAGGAGCATAAAATACATGATGATTAAAGTAGGAAGTATATATTTTTTGGTAACAAAAGGAAATACATCTGGGTGGTACATGCAAGGGGACAGAGACAAGTACTGAAGAAACAGAATGCACAGGCTTGCAGATGAGGAGGAGAGATTCTCTGGGTTTACTGGCAATGCCTGGATTCTCCTGGTGCTCCTGCTGCAGGTGCACACAACCATGACCATGATCACTGCCCTCAGTAGGTAGTGTTCACAGTGCTCATTACTACCCAGTGGGTAGTAGAGCTCACTACTGCCTTCTGATCACTTAGTGAATGAATCTTCCAATCAGTAAACTCTCCATCTCCAATCATGCATCTAAATTTCTAACCCTGGCTGGGACCTACCACCAGGACTCATTGTTCCTCTCCACTTCAGCTTGAACTCTCAATTTCTAGACCAACGCTTTGATTTAAACATCCTCTGGAGTTCCTGAGAAATTCCCCTATTTCCTGACTTTAAATCTTTAACTCAGTCCCTTTCATCCCACAAAAATGACCCACGGGCCAGTGTGTTAGTTCTGGACCCGGACTTTGATCCAAAATTTCTGAGTGGACTTTGGTTTCTTCTGGCCCTTCCTCGAATAACACAACGATGCTGCTGATCTTCCTGACGAATATTTTTAAGGAGGTTGAAAGCTCATAAGAACACTTAAAATCCCTATTTTTGATATAAACAACTATCTGTGTAATGGTAAAAAAAAAAAAAAAAAAAAAAAAGGGTGAAACATTTTTTGTTTTGTTCCTCCTACAAGAAAGACGGTCTACCTTTTAACCTCTTCGTTTAGAAGAGAAATAAAACTTCTATTACTTAATGGACCCTCTTGTGAAATCAGCCTGTGCATTTGTCAAAAGAAACTATTGTCAGTACTTCAAACATTCTAATTCAAATAGCACAGATAATGTAAACTCACTTTAATCTTCTTGAAAATGTCTGCGAAAGAGGAAAGAAGAAAAAAAAAAACTCTTAGGCTCTTGATGTTGCATTTTATGAGCGATCCTTTGCTTCTTTGCTGATTAAAAGGCTGACTCTCTATTTCTTTGCTGATTTAATGAGGATTCTCTTAAATGCCATTGTCATTTATGGAGAATATGTGCCAGGAAGATAGCCTAAAAGACTTTACCTCAAAGGACTGAAAGGTCAGCCCGACGTGGTAGCTCTCAGACACTGTTATTTTCCACACACATTCTTTCATCGGGCGATAGTCATCAGGATAATTAGGAGACTGAATCTGTCCTTCATTTTTACGTATCTCACCTCCACAGATCGCTGAAGAAAGCCAAAAAACAAACAAATAACTAAGCCTAGACATGCCATTTCGTTTTCATTTTCTTCTAAGTTAACCTTGAAGTTCAGCTCCTGTAGTTCAGTACATAAAGACCAGGCTATAAAAATCAAAGTTGACTGATTGTAATGTAGTAAATATTTATATGGTTAAAAAAAAAAAAAAAAAAAAAAAAAAAACCTAGTCAAATAACTACAAATATTAGATAATTGTCAAGGAATAAATAAATTTTAATCCTATCTTAACCAAAATGTATTTTCTAACCTTTAAAAACCTTTAGTGGCTTTGTGAATTTATTCTCTGTGAGTTTGTTCTGTGATTCTCTGAGCTGCTTCCTTTGGTCTTTCGACTGCAAGTAAAAGAGCTCATCAAAACAGGAGTCTCATCCTGAACAGAACTCACTGGGTCTCTGGCAGTGAGTTAGTGTCATGCCTGCAGCGTCTGTGACTCCCTCCAAATAATCCTCTTCACTACTAGGCAGTTAATCCTTAAAACAAAATGCTCCCATTTACTTAAAAGTTTAAGGGAAGCAGAAATCTTCTGTCTTCAAAATTACATAAACTGCTGTACTAGGAAGTGTCTCCTCCACCCACAAGCTGGCAAGAAAGGAGTTTGGTTTTAAAGCCAAGAAAGCACAATGCCAGTTTATTGTTTTAGAGAAGGATAAAACAAAGCATTTTATAAGTCCTTCCTCAAATGCTGACTTTCTTATTTAGATAAAGCATGCCCCAGAAATCGCCACAATTACTTTCTGTGCAATTTCCTCTAATAAAAAGTATTTCAGGAATACAGGGACCAAACAGACACAAAATCAATACAAAGGAAAATGATAATTTCTTCATAATATTTTAAAACTATCAAGAAACAATTAAACTTTAAGAATGCTTGTGCCATTTGCTTTTTTCTCCACACATCCTGAACACATTTAGATATTATTGCATCACTGATACTAGAAAACAGGTTGTTCTTGCAATTAAATTTACTGAGTATTTTTATTAAAATTATCTGTATGAATATAACACAGATTCAGAAAAATTCATAATTTTAAAATATGGTAATAATGTCATTGTAATGAAATTAAGAAATGAACATTTCTGTTGAGGTATAAGATGAACTACTCTCTAAAATTCAATGTGACTTGCCTTCATAGACAGCTGCAAAGCCTTTTCCTACCCAATTACTGCTGCTACGAAATTCAATCCACATTCTGCTGTCTGTAGAAGTAAGAACTTCAGGCACTTTGTCCCCACAGAATCTACCTAAAAGAAATAAAAGAATAAAGAGAAACTCCTAAATAGGACTCTATAGTCTATGTTCTTTTCGTACTAGCCACAAATAAAATGTATACACTGATTGGGTTCATATTTCCATTCCAAGTGATTGCAGCCACAACTATGCCTTAATATTTACTTACTAATGGTAGATAAACAAAACAGTCTCTTCATATACATTTATAAAGCATTTGACTATCAGCCTCAGAGTAACTGACTGATGTCAGTATTGTTACCATATGTAGAAGTAAGATGGTTACTCAAAAACAATATTTGAAAAAGGTCAAATGATGCATCAAGGTGGGGAATATTATTTAACAGGTAACAGAAAAAAGGTGCAAGTCACCCTAAGAAAGTGGTTTCAAATTGTCAACCTGGCCAATAGCAGGGAAATGACTTGGTTAAGAATGTGCTCTCAGTCAGGCACAGTGGCTCATGCCTGTAATCCCAGCACTTTGGGAGGCTGAGGCAGGTAGATCACCAAGTCAAGAGCTCAAGACCATCCTAGACCATATGGTGAAACCCCGTCTCTACTAAAAATACAAAAATTAGCTGGTCATGGTGGTGCGTGCCTGTAGTCCCAGCTACTTGGGAGGCTGAGGCAGGAGAATCACTGGAACCTGGGAGGCAGAGGTTGCAGTGAGTCAAGATGGCAACACTGCACTCCAGCCTGGTGACAAAGCAAGATTCCATTTCCAACAAAGAAAGAAAGAAAGAGTGTGCTCTTGGCTCAGAGGGGAGTTCTTAATTCACCCAGGTTCAATAGCAACTCCTTAGGAAAACCCTGAGGCTGCTCTTGGTATCTTTTATCACTGCACGCATTCCATGTCATCTACAAAGCTATAACCTGTGGTGTTATAGGCAGAATAACAAATACTATCAGAAGACTTGAACATGATTTCCAATGTCTTCTAATTCTGTATCCAGAAATATGAATTACAGCAAAGGAATATAATACCTGTCATTCCTTCCTTTCTTCCCTATCTTTCCACAAATATTTATGCTTACTTCTGCCTCTATGCTCTAAGCTTTTACATGATCACAAAATGCTTAAATATGATAAAGCACATGCAACAATTCTGCAAACATATTACAATGTTATCCATTCTTATGTGTCTCTGGAAATGGCATACATAGTTTTAGTGTATGAAAAATGGTAGCCAACTTGCATAAAGCAAGTTCATGCGCTAACAGGTGAAGACATATTTTCCTAAATTGCAAAGCAAATTAGAGGCAGGTATCACAGAGCAGTATGTTTTAAACTATAATGTGCATCTGAATTTCTAGGAAATCTATTCAAATGCAAACCCTAATTCAGAGGATATAGAGTGGGAGCCAAGTTTCTACAATTCTAACAATTTTCCAGATGATTTCGATGCTACCAATCTAAGTGCTGCACTTTTTGGAGCAAGGTCTTAGAAGAAACGGTAGGGAAAGCTTTTCACATAAAAACCATGATTACACTGCCTCACTCTAGTGGTCCATTATACATTGAGCCATGTAATGCTGATGGTGCTCTACAAAGAAGTGTTGTTCAGAATTTTAGCTCTAGATTTGTTTCTCTAATATGAATTTAATGAAATATTTTCTTTGGCCTGTGCATACATATGTAAAAAATTGCTTTATCTAGGCTAAGAAACTAAATATAGAAGACAATGTTTTCCTCACTCTGACTTACCACATTCGTTCAATCCTTTAATTTTAAACATTTCTACAGATCTCTTGGATTTACTGTGGCTGCTGTCACTTCTAATACAATTGTGCCCATTCAGTAGGTGTTAGATGTTAAAAGAGCTGCACAGTTCATCAACGCGACTGAGCAAAACTACTTCTAAGAGTAAAGAAAAAGTTACAATCTCAGAAAAAGATCAATATAGAGTTACAGAGTGGATGCCTGCATGCTCCAAACAGCTCTCACCTTTGAGTAAAACAGAGGCCAACAGTAAACTGCCTATGCAAGTTAATAGTGTGGTCTGTGGTTAAATGTTGGCAGCAGACTTTCATGAGCACCAAATCTGACTATAGTTTATGACACAAACTGCAAATGTCTCTTCTCAGCCACAGAAAACTCTCTGAGAAGCAAAATTGTGACATCTATAATATAATAAGAGTTAATATGCTTGACATAGGAATCAGCTACCAAACATGTACCTAACAGTTTACACCACTGGCTTAGCAACAAAACAAAAACAAAACACACAAACACACAACATGTACACCCAAAATTAGTTTTTTTTTTTTAAGTTGAAACGGATTCTTAAAGCAAAAATACAGAAACATTGTGATGAGTACTCATGATAGTCACAATACATGAGAAAGCTATTCTCAATCATTACGTTCAAATCCTAGCGGCCACCTCATAACTTAAGCTAGCTCAAATTAGTTGATCAGTGAATGTATGTATCCATTTGTCTTCGAGTATTTTTGGTATGGTTGAAAAAAGTATAATTAACATAAAAATAATGTTAGTCACACACATTTTTAACTCTAAGATGACTCTTGAGAGAATCAGTTGGTTTTCTTTGGACAGGACAGAATGAATACATAGCAACATAAGATGGAAAAGATATCTTACCAAGAAGAGGTGATTTTCTCCAGTAACCATCTCTTACTTCAATGTAGTCATACCAGCACAAACTACTCTTGTAAAGATCCATCGTTGTAAAATTTAAAACAATCTGCAAAATGGAGGTAAACAACCCACAGAGTAAAAATGATTGTATCTACATATAGTGGTTTGATTCCTAGAGGTAAGGAACCCTGGTCTACAGTAAAAATGCATGTACAGCTAATTCTTTTTCAATGTTATAATTATCCTAATATTTTTTTCTGAACCAACACCTTGAAACCATGTTTTCCCATTTTCTTTAACTGTTTTACAATGACAGGAGAAGTACAATATGAGTAGTTGAACAAACTAGATACTTTAGCAATTAACAAAAAGTTTCTGTAAAGTTAATCTGGACAACTGTAAAGCAAACAAATTTTTATTTAAATAGTTTATTTTGAATTTTCCCAAGATAAACATGACTGGAACCATGAAGAATTCTAATTTTTCCACGAAAGCCTTTTTAAAAATAATTTATTTCAAAGACGACCAGTCAGACATCTATAATTACGTTAAAAATAACCACCGTGTGCCACATTCCCAGAACATATAATATCATTGTGTATGTTGAAATGTTTTAAATACAGTCCTAGAATTAGAATTTATCCATCTAATGATAATCAAAGGCAGATGTCACTATGTTTCTCTAGATCCAAAGATGTATATACAAAGACCTTTCAATTTAGAGCATCTTATACATAACCCTTATTTTGTGCTTTGTTTCAAAATGATGCTGTTGTGTAAAGATAACTCAAGAGACAATTCTAGGAAAGACGACTTTCTTACTGCTTTATAAAAGGACTTTACTTTTCAAACAACTCTTTTTTTCTTACTTGATTACACCGAAAGTAAAGCCAAACTTACACGAGAAATGTGCTTATCTGATGCAATGAAATTCATTTGGATTTTTTTTTTCACATTCAAAAACTCATTCTAACTCTATTCTACTTAAAACATCTGAGATGCTTACGGTTCATAGTATGCCCGTTCTCTACTCTAGAAATTGTGATGGACTTTGGTCAAAAGCAACAAATTATGAGTATTCGAAATGCTCCTACTACAAAACTATAGTTTGTAGCAATATTCAAAAATCTCTTTTGTGAAAATACAAAAGGCTGAATGTGAAAGAAGTCTCAAGGAATAACAAAGAAAGGAAGAAAAAATAAGAAAGAAAGGGAGAGAAGGAGGAAGGAAAGAAAAAAGGAAAATAAAAACATAATCAATACCGAATCCATATTCCAGAAAAGTATTACCAATTCTGTGCTGGAAAGTATATGCTTCTCCCCTTTCTTGAACACAATATTTAACATAAAGGTAAGCACGAATTACTGCAAATCAATGCTGAATGAACTTACTTCTTTCCCAAATGACACAGGATAACTACAAATATTTCTCATGGCATCTCATATCTAGGTACCACAGTGATCAGTGATGAAACTGTACACTAAAGTTGGTTTCAAATATCCATATAAACTAACATGTACTTTCCTAGTAACAAAGAAAGAAATCTGCCAAGGATAAGAAAATAGGGATGTAATTTTAAAAAATGTAGTACATTAAGTTGTGGAATAAGTTTGTGGTTTTTTTTTTCATCGGAGACGGAGTTTCGCTCTTGTCGCCCAGACTGGAGTGCAGTGGAGCAATATCAACTTACCACAACCTCTGCCTCCCGGATTCAGGTGATTCTCGTCCCTCAGCCTCCTGAGTAGCTGGGATTACAGGCATCTGCAACCACATCCAGCTAATTTTTGTATTTTTAGTAGAGATGGAGTTTTGCCATGTTAGCCAGGCTGGTCTTGAACTCCTGACCTCAGGTGACCCATCAGCCTCGGCCTCCCAAAGCACTGGGATTACAGGTGTGAGCCACTGCGCTTGGCCATAAGTTGGTTTTAGCAGAATTGTTCATTTTTTTTTATCTTCCTTCTTTGCAATTTATCTTTTTTTCTGTTTTTCTTTGTCTTCACCTCATTGTAAGATTCCGTTTTTTAAATGTTTACAAAAATTTTCAAAATATCCAAAGCATTGATCATTTTTTCCCAATAATCCTCAACACTTGATTATCAAAATGCTTTAGTATCTCATTTATTTTTATAAACTTCCCAAAATATTTTCTCCTACATCTCTAAATACCAATGTAACATTAGACTATATTCAGGATATAAGTAGGAAATAATATCTGGTTTTTGCCTTTAACTTTGTGTTTACTTTAAGTCTGCTCCAAACGGAGAATACTATCACTGCCTGATACTACTTTTCATTTTATATTTTCCCTATAGCAACCACCAAGATTTCAACTCTATATGATTATATAAGAACTCATCTATTATAGCAGAGACAGCAAAACTTGAATATAGACACAAACAGAGACTCCCCCAAGGCTCACATTCTGGCTTCCTTCTTAGATTGAAAGAGTAGTTTTATAATGACATGCAGATAGCTTCTACTGCCTTCTTCATGAGGAAAAGAAAAGCTAAATTAGAAGCATGTGTATTATCAGTTTCATTCAAAATTAAAAAGTGTGTTTGGATTGCAAAGAAATAGTTAATATTTGATCTCTTGAAACACACACACAAACACACAAACACACACACACTCACACACACAGTTGGATGGGGATAACTCTAAGCAGAAAATTTTTCTAACTTGTTTTTAATCTTCTGGTTTAAACACCACGCACCGTGGAGGAACATAACTGGCCTGACATTAACATAAAACACAGAGCCCTCTAAAAGCAGAAAATGTAATAAAGATAGGTTTTCTAAAATCAAATCATAGGGCTCTGACTATAGACGTAAAATTCTGGCCTTCAACTAAGGTTGCTAGCAGGATTCGTACTTGAATAACAAATCAAACACACTTGGAAAATATCTGGTTGTTTTGCATTATGTTGTTTTATGTAAACATATTGCGTCTTTCCCCAAAGAATGATCAAATGAAAAATACAAAACACAACTTTATACATATTTTATTTTTGACTTAAGTATAAGTAACAACTCAAAATTAATTATAGCTCCCTTGGAGTATGAGATCGAGGGAACAATTTTAAGATTTCCTGTGATCTGTTAGGAGTCTAAGTTGCAACGTTGAATAGATGCCACTGCTGCCAATTGTGCTTATTAAAGACTTTGTTTTCCGATGCTGCGGAGTGAAGAATCCTGAAGAAAGGCAGATCAACATTTCAAGGGACTGTACGTCTGCGAGTCTCCAGAGAAAGATATATATAATCAATGAACTTTTTTCAGCACAATTAAGATACTATTGACTACCTAAACAAATTCCATGAGCACCACAAAAAGGCCAATTAGCATAATGTTTGCACCATACCTTATAAGGCTGAGGATAGAGAATGTCCTTAAAATTATAAAATTAGAGAATTTGATCTAATAGGCAAACCTTGCCAATTAGATCAAAAAAGCAGCAAGATTAAATAGATTGCTATGCTACAGCCAGAAGAAACCTGGCCAAGTCTAATAAACTTTCTAGAGTGACAATATTTTTCTTTCTTCAGAAATAAGGCTCAGAGAGAGTAAATCAGGGATCAGTAAACTATAACCCATGGATCAAATTCTGCCTGAAGCCTGTTTCTGTAAAAGTTCTATCGGAACCATTCCTTTACCACACATTGTTTATGTCTGTTTCAATGCTACAGTGTTAGCAATCAGTATTTGTGACAAATACTGTGTAGCCTGCAAAACAAGTATATTTACTGTATGTTATTTCCAGAAAAGTTTGCCAGTCTCTGAAATAACTGATCATTAAGGTTTTGTTCAGCTCTGAAATTGTATCATGTTGTAGGAAAAAAAATACAACTTTTTCTACATCTGGAAGCTATTCTTGATTGGGAGTCAGAAGACCTGGGTTCAAGTTCTAACTTCTCAGTTTGCTGGTTTACTTAAACATTCTGAGGTTGGACGAATCTTACTGCTGTAAACAGGAGGTCACCCTATCAGGCTTATCTCACCAGAATTGACTCGCAAGACTTTAGTTGAATGATCTGGAGAAAAATACTCAGGTAATCCCAAAGCACTATTAAGATTCTTACATATTACTATTTCATGGTATATATTCAGACATTCCTCACAATATAAACCCTGAAAAAATACATAAAATAAAGTATTACTCCATTTCCTTATTCTTTCTATGCTCTGAAACATACAAACATCAGTTTGATGACAGGTGGAAACCAGGAGTCAAATTATTCTATTAAAATATTTTTTCTGCTTAAACCTATGTGATAACATCTGACTTTGAAATTTTGATGAATCATCACTCACTATTCATCAGAACATTATTTATACTTCTCCCTATGGTTTGAATGTGTATGTCCCTCCAAAATTCATATGTTAGAAATTAAATCCCAAAGTGATGGTGTTAAGAAGAGGCCACTGGAAGCTGATTAAGCCGGGAGGGCTCTGCCCTTAGAAATGAGATGAGTGCCCTTATAAAAGGGCTTGAGGAAACAAGTTCATCCTTTTATCCCTTTGTCCCTTCCAACCCTTCAGCCAAGTGAAAATGCAAGAAATAGAAAGTGAGAACTAACCAGATACCTGAATCTACAGGCACCTTGACCTTGGGCTTCTCAGCCTCTACCTCTGTGAGTGGGAAATAAATCTCTATTGTCCGTAAATTACTCAGTCTGAGGTGCTTTGTTATAGTGGCATTAATGGACTACGACTTGTTTTTCCTAAATTCCCACTGCACCCCTACATCTAGTTAATTGTCAAATTCCATAGATGATGTTCTATAATATCCCGTCTTTTTCCTCTTTTGCCATCAATGCTGGCTGTACTTCTTTTCTGAATATAATGTAATAGTTTCACAAGATGTACTTTGGCTTTTAATTTTACTCTTCTCCATTTCATCCTACACTTTATGGCCACAGTAATCTCAATAGAGTTTGCTTCCCATCAGGGTTTTGGAATCAATGACTCTAGTAATAACCCAACTTTGCTGCCTCATCTTTCATTGTCTCAAGCACATAAGCTTCATCCCACTCATCCCTAACTTCTTGCTATTGTGCTCTGACAAAGTATTCCAATCTCAGCTCTATTCCCATTCCTTTACTTAAAG